TAACCTGAGTTTTTTTCTGTTCATTTTTATTAAAAACCAATGGCTAGAAAATTTCAAAATGTTACTTAAAGTACCGGATTTGGAGCTAATTCAAACTTTTAGGGTTGGTTTGTTTTTGTTTCTGTTTCTGTACTGTTTTTATAGCATTGGTATAAACCCTGTGCATAATGCATTGTACTTATGATTCTTTCAAACCCGTAATCTTCTTGGAGCTTTCTAATGGATTTTAAATCTAATGATTTGCACATATACAGGAAAAGTCAAAACTTTTCCCTCTGTTGATGCTACAAATTCATCAGTTTTTTTTTGTGTGTGTGTGTAAAACAAGATACATAATTCATTTCTTTAACCCTTTTGAATATACCATGCTTACTTTATAATCTGTTATTTGAAGTTTTGATGTTTAATACTACTGTCAAGAATTTTCCTCAGGGAGTTTTACAAATTTTAGAGTGTATCTCCAAAAGGGCTTTACTATATTGAAAAGTTTTTGTTCCCTCCAGAATTTATGTTGAAACTTTGTCCCCATTGAAAATTAAGAGGTGTAGGTTTTGGACAGTCATTAGGTCATAAGGGCTCCACCCTACCCTCACTAATATATTGGTGCTTTTTTTTTTTTTTTTTTTAATTTTTTATTGTTGGCTGTTCAAAACATTACATAGTTCTTGATATATCATATTTCACAATTTGATTCAAGTGGGTTATGAGCTCCCATTTTTACCCCATATACAGATTGCAGAATCACATCAGTTACACATCCATTGATTTACATATTGCCATACTAGTGTCTGTTGTATTCTGCTGCCTTTCCTATAATCTACTATCCCCCCTCCCCTCCCCTCCCCTCTTCTCTCTCTGCTCCCTCTACTGACATTCGTTTGTCCCCCTTATATTATTATTGGTGCTTTTTTAAAGCACTGGCGAGAACCAGCTAGGTTCTTTTTGCCTCTTTTGCTCTTCTGCTTTCTGCCATGCAAGGATGCAACGACAGGTGTCATCTCGGCTGAAGAAGGACAGTGTTCACCAAACACCAAGTCTGAAGGTGCTTTGATCTTGGAATTCCTGCCTCCAAAATTGAGAAAATAAATGTTTGTGACTTATAAATTATAGAGTGGTATTAACAGCCTGTGTCTTCCAAGGTAAGGAAATGTAATTTGAACTCTAGACCCAAGTGAGGACAAATCCTTTGTTCTAAATCTTCAGTGGAGGCTTTTGGTCTACCTGGAGCTCAGCCTGAGAGTTAAATATCCTTATCTTGGCTGGTGAATGGAGTTTTTCTGGTTTGTGCTTTCACTGAAGATCTAACCCTTCACTGGTGTCAGCATTGTGTGGAGTTCTCAGTTCCAGTTTTTGTGGACCTAAATCTTCTTGTCACCAGTTTGAGTGTCAAATGCCATTCCCTTTAAGATTAGTAAGTCTCATCTACCACAATTTTAACTGGGTTTCCTCTGTTAGAGGCCTCTACAACCTTCTTTAACAAACATAATAGCATGACTTTCAAAGGATGTTGTTATTGCCAAACAGATTTTTGAGTATTTTAGTCTGCTAAATGCTGGATGGAAACTGTCAAGTAGTAGTGTTTATTATTATTATTATTATTATTATTATTTTTAATGAAAGATGGTTACTGTCTTCATTTTAAGAATTATATTTCGTCAGTCTGCTCTCACTGATTATATATTTTGATAGTTTTACTTTTGATAGCTTTTTCATTCCCTTTTTCTCCCTTCTTGCTAACCTGGGAGAATCCCCCTACCCCAGCTCTCTAGCTCTTTTCTATTTTTTTCTTTTGAGATAGTGTCTTGCTAAGTTGCATAGGCTGACCTTAAACTTGTGATCCTCCTGCCTCAGCCTCCCAATTTACTGGGATTTATAAGTGTGTGCCACCATCCCAACTTGAGAGAATTTTTTAATTTTTTTAAACTGTTCTCACTTGTCTTTTGACTTTTCCAAAATTATATTTCTTTTCTTTTTTCTTTTTTTGTAACACCTAGTACTGAGGATTAAACATGCTAGGCACACACTCCACCACTGAGCTATATACATCTCCAGCCCTTTTTATTGAGTCAGAGTCTCTCTAATACTCTTCTAAATATGCTGAGTTTTCCAAAGAAGTTCAGGCTGCCATCTTTGTCATAAATCATGGGTACATACATCTGTGGGCTTGATTTTGGACTTCTTATTCTGCCTCTTTGTTTTTTCTGTGTCCTTGCACCAATAACACTCAAGGTTAAGTTTTATAATTTTGATAACTGGTAAGAGTCCTCCCACTTTATTTGTCTTGCCTATTCTTTCCATGTAAATTTTAGAATTAGTCTGTCAATTTTCATAATAAAAATAGGCTTGGATTTTGATTGGAATTCCATGGGCTCTATAAATAAATTTGAGGAGCATATTTATCTATAACATTGTGCATGGCATATTTCTCCACTTATTTAGGTCACCGTCAGTTCCTCTCTTAATATCTCAGTCTGTAAATATTTTGTCAGATTTTTGTTACTTCATATTTTTGTGCAACTGTGAATGGTACTGCCTTTTTTACTTTTCAGTTTGTTTTGGTATATATATAAATAGAAAAACATACTCCAGGTTAGGGTTGTAGCTCAGTGGTAAAGTGCTCGCCTAGCACATGGGAGGCCCTGGGTTCAATCCTCAGCACCACATATAAATAAATAAAATAAAGATATTGTGTCCAACTACAACTAAAAAATAAATATTAAAAAAAAGAAAAACATACTCAAGTTTTACATTTTTTGCACATTTTTGTTTTGTTTTGTTGGTGGTACAGGGATTGAACCCAGAGAACTTCTATCACTGAGTCACACCTCAATTCTTTTTGAGACAAGGTCTCTCTATGTTGCTGACACTGACCTTGAACTTGCAAACTTGTATTTTTTTCTAAATTCGGAATAATGGGAGTTTAGTGGATATTCCAAATAAGATGCTCCCAAAGAGTCCTCTTGGGGCGGGGGGAAGATTTAGGATAACAGTTCATTTGTATTACATTACGTAAGAAAAGTGCACAAATATGAATAAATGTTCTGTGTCCATGAGCAATAATTAGGTGGATATCTATAGTGCCTTGAGGTCTTTGGTCAGAGAAAGTTTCATACATGTTAAACCCTAACATGATAGCCAGCTTAATTTGCCTTGTTGAGAGATGCCTCTACTTTCCACTCATTTCTGAAATGTGGGATCTATGTAGAAAAACTGTGATATATAGGAAAATGCAAAGAAGTAAAATATAAGAACAATAATTATCAACGGTGGACTCCCAAGCAAGTGGAGGGCTACATAGCACCGAGGATTTTTCATACATTGATTGATTTGGGTTTTCCAAAATGTCTTCATTGTGGTGATGGACAGCTTGGTGTGCTGTTATTTCCTGCAGCAGCCACACCTTCTCGAATTTTTGAATTTCAGCCTCTGGGCCTCTCCTAAGATTTTTTTTTAATGTGTATATTTTTAGTTGTAGATGGACTTAATAATACCTTTATTTATCTTTACATGGTGCTGAGGATCTAACCCAGGGCCCCACACATGCTAGATGAGCTCTCTACCACTGAACAATAACCCCAGCCCTCTTTTCTAAGATTTTAAGTATTTCTCTTATTCACTTATTTCTTCAGCCCTCAGTTAGTACTCTTACACCTAAGAGGTAAGAGTACTTAGTACTCTTAGGTATAAAAGTATACCAGCCTCTCCCTAAAGTTAATACCTCACATTTGCCCTTGCTAAAACAGTGTTGAGGAAGCCTTTGACAAAATTCAACATCCAGTTTCTGACAAAAGCCCTTAACAGGAATTGGTAATTGAAACATTTTATACAATGTTTATTTTGGTCCTTTTATTTAGTAGTAAAACACAAGGGAAGCTTCAATTCAGAGCAAGACTAAGGCAATGAAACTCTGTCTACTATTATTTAGTACTGTACTAGATAAAAATGAATTAGAGGCACAATTGGTAAGAAATTAAACCGTCTTGGTTTGTAGGTTTGAGGGCGCATCTGAAATCCTACAGAATCAGTGATTAAAAAAAATTCAGGGGGCTGGGGTTGTGGCTCAATGGTAGAATGCTCATCTAGCACGTGTGGGGCGCTGGGTTCGATCCTTAGCACCACATAAAAATAAAATATTGTGCCCAACAACAACTAAAACAAAATACTAAAAAAAAAAAAAAAATTCAGTTGAGTGTTTAGATATATTGTGTTACTTTTTCTTTATGTGGGTATTGAAAGGTAAAATTGCAGATGACTTTTTTTTGGACAGCACCACTCTAAAACAAACTATAACACCTGGATTCAAATTCTGATTTCCTCACTTAATCATAGCTATATGCCACAGGGAAAGTTACTTCTCTAATAATTTTCTCATCTTTAATATGGTGATAATGATAACAGTATCTACCTTATAGGTTTGTAAGTCTAAAGCACATAAAACAAAGTAAGTATTTATAAATGATAACAAAGAGCAAAAATAATTGATAGCAAGATACACAAAATATAGAAATTAATCGTCTTTAGATCTAGAAACAATAACCAGCACATAATGGTGAATAAAACCCCATTTTAGTAGCAACAAAGACTAAATACTTTGGGATAAACTCAACAAGAAATGTGTAAAATTTGTATGTAATAAAAATTTTAAAATGCTCCCCAAAGACAAAAAGGCAGACTGTTCTTCATTACTAAGAATTAATATAAAGATATCAGTTAACTAAAATTAGAACACTACCTCAAACTATATAAATATATGGGTATATATATATATATATATATATATGGGTATATATATTTATATAGTTTGAGGTAGTGTTCTAATTTTGAGATAGTGTTTTGAGATAGTGAATCTATTCACTATCTCAAAATGGATCAGGGATTCCCTGTAAATTTTGGATATGAAACAATATAAGCACTAGGAAAACATGGGTGAGTTCATCTTTAAACTCAGCATATGTAAATTCTAATTATTAAAATCAAAAGACAATAAAAGATTAACACAGTTAACCACAGGAAAAATGACTTTTCTATTGCAAAACACACCATAATCAGAGCCAAAGATAAATAATTTGGAGAAAATATATTCACAGATAGATAATATGTAAAGAATTCTTAACATTAAGAAAGGACCATAAACAATAGGAAATGAGATTAAAGTAGCCCTTAATCAGATGAAGATATTCAATCTCCTTCATAGGTAGAGAGATACAAATTAAAACTACAATGAAGTGCCTTTTTTCACCTATCAGGTTGACAAACATAAAACATGGCAAACACATTCTACTGGTAAGACTATGGAAAAACAGGCATTTACATATTCCTGATGGGAAAACAAACTGCATTTATTTGTTTTGGCAATATCTACCAAAAGTACTTATATCTTGACCCAGCAATCCTAATTCTAAAAATTTACCTGAATATACATACCAGTTTAATGAAAATTCATATACACATGGCAATTCAATTACAGCATTGTAATGGGAAAATATTGGAAATGACCTAAATGTTCACATATAGAATAGCAGAAAAAAGAAACTATGGAGGCTGGGAATTCCATAGCTCAATTGGTAGACAGGAAAAAATAAAAAAATATGGAATATTCACAGAATTTAGTGGTATGTAGCTGTTTGGGGGGTGGGGCTGGGAAGGATAGTTTTTTTTGTACTGGGGATTAACTCAGGAGTACCACCTACCACTACACCTTCAGTCCTTTTTTTTTTTTTTTTCTTTTTTGAAGACAAGTTTAACATATTCACATACAAGGATTTATGTAGGATTTTTTAAAAAAAAATTATGTATTAGTTCTAATCAGTTCCTTTTTATTTTTTGAGACAGGGCCTTGTCTGCTAAATTGCCCAGACTGGCCTCAATAAATGCATGGAAAAAGAAACAAAGGAAGGATAAATCAGAAACTGGACATAGGTTACCTCTGGGGGTAGGTGCAAACAGGAAAGAACAGGAGAAGTAGAACAGAAAGTATATGGACAACTGAAGCTTTTTCTGTAATTCTTTACCTATGCTAATGTTTCACATATGTAAAAAGTTAACAAGGTTGGGCAGGTACCCCTTATGTGTGTGTTTTCTTTTCTTTTTTTTTTTTTTTTCTGGTGCTGGGGATTGAACCCAGAACCTTGTGCATGTAGGCTTACCCTCTACCATTGAGCTACTCAACTGTAGACTTATCAAAACCAAATTAACTGATTACAAACAAGTAATACAACTATGCTGAAACGGGAAGCAGAGAAAAGAACTATGTAACTTTGTAAAACAGTATTTTGGTTATGTGCTGTAAGACCAAAATAAATTATAAATACCACACACTAGTTAGTAGTTTGTTTCTCTTAAGGCAAAAAAAAAAAAAAAAAATGGCAATTCTGAAACTACTTTATGTATGTTCTAGAATTAGGCAAATAAGCAAACATATTATGTGTAAAGCCAGATGTCTCCCTAGTTTTGAACAAAAGAAGTACAAATAAGGAGGACTAAAGTGAACTCTGTGGTGTGAACTGGTATTAAAAAATATACATAGAAATAGATATAGATGTATATTTCCTAGCTCTGCAAAACAGGTTAAAACCAACAACCTTGTATCAATGAGTACACACAGTGCCACTTTTTTTTTTTTTTAATGTATTTTCAAAGCAGATGCTTGAAGAAAGAAATCAGATTTCAAGGCTACAGTAGACACGAGATGAGCCTCCTACATTTTGTGCTTCCAGAATTTAAAAGGACAGGGACATGTGAAAAGAACAGAAAGGGGCTCATGTGGCCAAATAAGTGAGAATTTGAGCAATAAATAATGATAGTAAATGAATATACCAAATAATATAAAAATGTGGATCTAGTATCAATCATAATGGGGAACAAAAACTCTTCCTCTCAGTAGAGTTTCAAATAATAAAAGCAGGAAGTGATGGAAACAAAATCATTTGGTAAAGGGGAAAATCTCAATAGTTTGTGGAGAAATCTGATGTACACCAGATAGCACCATATTCAAAATTAATTTTATGAACAGGGTTGGGGATATAGCTCAGTTGTAGAGGAAAAGGCTGCTCTAAACACATGGAAGTGAATGAATCAAGAAGTGACAAAAAATAGGATAAAATACCCAGGTGATATTTAGAATTCATGATACAGAAACGAGCAATGTGTGGAAAATATGCAGTATACAAGATGTCAAATTGTTTAAAAATACCAAAAAAAAAAAAAAAAACAAGATCAGAATAAGTGGGTATATTTACTACTTTGGAGGGGGTGTTTTAGGGAAGGTAGAAAAAACACTTCAATATTTGAAGAAACCCACTAAGTAGAGGATTGGGTTTTTTCTTGTATGGTCTGAATCTATATTCAGGGTTAATGAATGGAAGACACTAGTAAAAGAATCTGAACATTCAGTTATTTCTCCATGATTATTCCTTGGCAGGATTTTCCAAAGCACAGGGACACCCTATGGTAGGGGAAAAGGATTTGAATGAACTCTTTCCAACCTGAGATAGTTAGGCTATAGAACTCTGTGGAGTTATGTAGGCCCTAATAACTAAGAGACTTTTAATGCTGTTAACTTTGGCCAACAACCTGGACAAGAAAAACACTTGTAACTTTGTCTTAACTTCTCTGTTAAACAAAAACAAACATGCATTTAAAAAAAAAAAAAAACAAGTAATTCAGTGGAATAGAAAATAAGAACACTATATTGAGTTTGACAAAATTTATTGGTATTTTAGTAAAGACATTCATCTCAGTCGTTTCTCTCTCCTCATCTTGACCTTAGGTTAATATTTCATTTGGGTCAAGAAAAGAATATGTAGGAGAGGGATGTTATTTTAACAAACAGTAAAATGGACAAAATGGATAGTTTGCCTACATAAAAGTAAGTTAAATTCATGTTTCTTGATATAATTAAATCATGTTAAGAACTAATAGTTGTATATACATTTCCATTGTTTTACTTGGGGCTCTTTCTAAACTTAAATGCAAGTGAACAAGAGTTAGGAATATATACAGGCTGCTTCTCTGGAATTATTACCAATTAAAAGAGCTCAGTGAGTTAATAACCACCAATAAAATAGTTTGAAGCTGCCTCCAAATTTAACATTGTAGGAGTTTTCAAGGAAATCATATTACCATATTTTTGTTGTCTGTGACTATGCTTTTAAAGATGTATTTGTCACATTAAAAAATAATGTCCATATACAATACAAAAATACAAAACAAACACCTTATGATACACAAATCTTAATAGTATATGTGGTGGGAGATTTCATAAAATGTAATTGAAGATGCATTTTTCTTTCATTCTATTTTTAGTACCTAAAATGTGCTTTTGAGAAGACACTGGTCAGTAAATATATATATTTCAAACAAACCATAGAATTACACTAATAATAAATCCTGCAGTGAGTTCAATTTAAATTGGGTTTAACAAGTTAGTAACTTAAATGATTAGACAAAGTTACAGAAAGTGCATCTTCTCATGTTGTCTTCATACAATGTTAAATTTCTCTCTCTCTCTCTCTTTTTTTTTTTTTTTGGTATTTATACATTTTAAAAAATAAAAACCAGCCAAATGCTTAAGTATTATATACATTTAAATTTTTGGTGGTGGTTTGTATTTTAAAAGAAACAGCTTCCTTATGATTTGCCTCAAGTTCTGGTGGAAATGCCTACAGGAACTAGTTATGAATAAAAACCAAGAGAAGCACATTCAGAATACTGATTTACTTTGGTAGCAAATGGTTGTTCTTTGAAGACTAATGAAGGTAGACAAGACCCATTAAGGTGTGTGGGCTATTTCAAATACTCGATACTTCACATAAAAATTAAAAAAGAAATAAAAACATTTTTAAGAGCTAAGCGTTTGTATCCACTGATAGCAATGCCAATACCTAGTATATGATGACTTGAAACAAAACAAATGCCCATAAGGAAAAAAAAGCTGTATTTTAATTTTATCTAAATTTATTATCAGTCAACAGTCCAGTAACATTTTCCTCTCAGTACAATACTCCCTTCTCTCTATAAGGCTGTTCCTGGGAGCCAGTTTAGGTAATGAGGGAGTTAAGTTAGGAGAGTAACTGCTTGCAGTTTTAAAAAGATAGTAACTTTTGTTTCCCTCTTAATGTGCTAATAGTTGTGCCTAAAAAAATATGCAATTCTTAAAAAGGTACCATTTCTGATTTCTTTATTATCTGTAACCTTTGGAAACTAATCACATGAAACTACAAAATTAGCAAATGTCTTGAAATCTGTATATAAAACATAAATTACTTCTAATTTCAAACTCTCATTTATTAGTGTACCACTCAATCTTAAAAAACAAAACAGAACAAAAACAAAAACGAAAAAGGAAAAAAAGCGGCTCCAAAGATAGTCTTATACCATTCTTTAAAAAAGGAAACTGTTCCTTTTAACTTTACACCCACCCCATACCCCAATTTCAAAACACATCATTTAATTGTCTTGGTCATGAACATTTCCAAGATGAGATTTTATATTTCGTTCCCATAGCTTCTGGTTATCAGAAAACCCATGCTTTCCTTTATTGAAAGAGTTTGGTCCAGCTGATGTTGGTGTATCCCTGCATTAAAAAAAAAATAAATTTATTTAAAATTCTATAGATATTTTAATACACATTTACTTAGTATCTATTATAAACACAAGCTGAACGTCAAAAAAGACTCTATAGAGCAAGGCCCTGAGCAACTTAGGAAGACCGTGTCTCAAAGTAAATAAAAGGGCTGGAGATGTACCTCAATGGTGAAGTGTCCCTGGAGATTAATAGCAAAGTGTCCCCTGGATTCAATTACCAGTATCCCTACCCCAAAAACCTCTACAGAGATTTTTTAAAAATACTATTTCCAAAGATAGTTCAAAGACTTTTTCGGGGGGTAGGAGGGGTACTAGGGATTTAACGCAGGGGTGCTTAACCACTGAGCCAATTTCCAGCTCCTTTTTATATTTTATTTAGTGATAGGGTCTCACTGCATTGCTTAGGGCCTCACTGAGTTGTTGAGACTGGCTTTGAACTCACAATCCTCCTTGTCTCAGACTCATAAGCTGCTGGGATTACAGGTATGCACCACCACACCAGCCAGTTCAAAGACTTTAAATTCGGTAGGCCTGAGGCAAAATTGCTTTCCCCCAACCCTGTTTTCCAACATAGGGCATGATGCATCCCTGATACTAAAAATATTTTCCAAAGGAAAAGGACACGTAAGATCAAGATTAAGTGGTAGGAATATCATTGTATCATTATGACTGTAGTGAGTAAAAGCCACTTTTCTATTACACTAGAAAAAAATTGAAATTTAAAATCAGAAACATCTTCATAGCTTTCTCTTATTTGAAAAAATATAGGTTACAAGTATCTGAAAAGAAATATCCTAATCTGGGCATCTGTAATTTCAGCTATCTGGGAGGCTGAGGCAGGAGGATCCTGAGTTTAAAACCAGCTTAGGCAACTTAGGGAAACCTGTCTCCAAAAATAAAAAGGGCCGTTGGAGAGTATACAGGGAAGAAGTATACTCAGACATTGCTGATGGGACTGCTAATTGGTGTAACCTTACGAAAAAGCAATATGGAGTTTCCTCAGAAAACTTGGAATGGAACCACCATTTGACCCAGTTATCCCACTTTTCAGTATATACCCAAAGGACTTAAAATCAGCGTATTACAGTGATGCAGACACATCAACGTTTATAGCAGCTCAATTCACAATAGCTAAAGTATGGAACCAACATAGATGCCCTTCAACAGAAAAATATACAAAGAAAATGTGGTACATATACACAATGGACTATTACTCAGCCTTAAAGAATGAAATTATGGCATTTGCAAGTAAATGGATGGAGCTGAGAATATCATGCTAAGTTAAATAAGCCAAACCAAAAAACCAAAGGTTGAATGTTTTCTCTGATAAGCGGATACTGATTATAGGGGTGGGAGGTAGGTAAGAATGAAGGCACTTTGGATTGTGTATATAGGGTAATAATGTCTGTCTCATGAGTGTGAGCATGAGAAGGACAGTTGAATCAGACAGACATTATTACCCTATATTCATGTATGATTACACTACTGGTGTGACTCTGCACCATGTACAGCCAGAGGAAGAAGTTGCATTCCATTTGTGTACAATGTAGCAAAATGTATTCTACTGTCATGTATAACTAATTAGAATTAAATAAATAAATAGGGCTGAGGATATAGCTCAGTGGTAAAGTACCCCTGTATTCAGTTCCCAGTAGTGAGGGAAAAATTAAAAGAATTAGCTTTAAATTATTGTTAAGTGTTTCTCCAAAAAGCACAGAAAATAAGATCACCCTTCTTCTTTGTGATAAGTCTAATTCTTACTTATCTTTAAACTCCAGTAGAGAGAAAATATAGAAAATTGTTTTGCTCATATGCACAAGAAAAGCCTTAACACTAAAAATATTATATGCAATTTATTCTTACTCTTAACTCAACCCTCTAATTTTCTTTTCTTTTAAATAGCCCTATTTATTTATTTTTTTGTGGTGCTGAGGAACGAACCCAGGGCCTCACACATGCTAGGTGAGTGCTCTGCCACTGAGCCACAACTCCATCCCCATCATCCCTCTATTTCTGTAATAGTTACAAAAACCTATACTACCTTCCAATATTCTTCATCCTCATCTTTGCTTCTGGAGGCATTTCCTCTGGTTCACTCTGAAGAAAAAAATGAGTAAACTGAGATAAATATCATGCTAAATTTTACATCTAAATCTTTTAAAACATTTCAAATGCTACAAATTTCTGTAAAAGAAGAAAATTAGTGAATTATTTGTCTTAACCACAGTTTTAATAGAAAGGCACTTTCCAGAGTGCTAATTTTGAGTAAAGAAAAAAATGTGGTAAAAATCTCATTCAACACATTGTATACATGAAATGAAACACCAATCTGTGCTCTTATGTTCAATTATGTGAATTAAAATTTCTTTAATCATAGTTTCAAAATCTCATTTTATGGCTTTTATCAAAAAGATTTTAAAAAACTAAAAATAACCAGGTACCCTGGCAGGAGCCTGTAATGTCAGCTACTCAAGAGGCTGAGGCAGGAATACTACAAGTTCAAGGCCTGTTTTGGCAACTTTGTGAGATCCTTTCTCAAAATAAAAGGTAAAAAAGGTCTGGGGATACAGCTCAGTGGTACAGTGTCCCTGGGATCAATCCCAATTACAAAACAAACCAAAAACAAAACCTAAAAACTAAAAATAAAACTACCATATGGTCAAACACTTCCACTAGTAAGTATATATCTAAAGGAAAGAAAATCAGTATGACAAAAGAGATATCTATATTCCCATGTTTATTGCTGCAGTATTCATAATAGCTATGACTAATATGAAGTTAACCTAAATGTCCACTGACGAATGGTTAGAGAATGGCACATAATTCACAATGAATAAATAAAATAAATAAAAGAATGAAATACTGTTATTTGCAGCAAAATGGATCAGGGTGGTGTGGACATTAAGAGAAATAAATCATGCAGAGAAGGACATATACAGCATGTTCTCACCCATATGTAGATGGTGAGGAAGCTGATGCCACAGAAATACAGTACAACAGTAGTTACCAGAGGTCAGGAAAGCAGAAGGATGATAACAGTATAGGGGTTTGGTTTGACAGGTTTGTAGGATGAATAACTTTTTTTTTAATATTTATTTTTTAGTTGTACACAACAAATTTTGTTTATTTTTATGTGGTGCTGAGGATTAAGGGTCTCACACGTACTAGGCGAGCGCTCTACCGCTGAACCACAACCCCAGTCCATCTTTTTTTTTTTTTTGGTACCAGGGATTGAACCCAGAGGGGCTTAACCAATGAGCTAGAACCCCAAATCTTTTAATTTTGACAGTTGTTAAGTTGCTTCTGGTCTTGCTACATTGCTAAGGCTGGTTTTAATTTGCAATCTTCCTGCCTCAGGCTCCCAAGTTGCTTAGATTACAGGTTTGTGCTTCTGGACTCAGATAAGTAACTTAGTGCATGCCTCTCATGCAAAGGACCTGGGTTCAATCACCAGCACCACACACACACACAAAAGACAAATGTCTGGGGTAATGGATAAGCCATATCAACCTAATCTGATCATTACACTGTATACATGTACTGAAATGCTACATTGTACCCTATAAATATGTACACTGTACCATATAAATATGTACAATTGTTGTAAATTCAAGAATTAAACTTAAAAAGCCCATATTATAGAAATAAAATCATTAATGATTTATGTACTATACTATGTGTTTAATGCTTTTATCTACACTATCTTAATTTAAAATTCTAACAATGCAGTCCCATGTGCAGTATGATTATAATCATTTGCATTTTATAGGTTAAATGACAAGGTTACTTGCCCAAGATCACAAAGTTAATGATTAGCAAACTAGTCTGATGCCAAAGCAAAGATCCTTAACCCCTTTATTGTACTGTTCTTTCTCAAAAGTACCTCTTTAATTCTAAGGACATTTTGAAAACTCAGTCCTTATTACTTTCTATACTTTCAGCTACTGAAAATTGTGAGATTGAGTTCTTTTCAGACTTATGGTTTTATGTATAAATGCTATTGCTTACCTTAGTAGTAATAATAATAATATTTTTTTTGTGCTACTAGGGATTGAAATAGGAGTTAGCACATGCTAGTCAAGTGCTCCACTACTGAGATACATTCTTATCCTTTCTTATTTTAAGACAGGGTCTCAATAAACTGCCAAGACAGACTTTTTTAGTTGTAGATGGACACAATACCTTTGTTTTGTTTTCATGTGGTGCTGAGGATTGAACCCAGTGCGTCACACGTGCCAGGCAATGTTCTACCACTGAGCCACAACCCTAGCCCTACCAAGAGTGGCTTTGAACTAGCTACTCTCTTGCCTCAGCCTCCTGAGTAGCTGGATTACAGATGTGTGCCACCAGGCATGCCTAAATATTATTATTTTTATTTTTAATATTTATTTTTTAGTTGCTGTTAGACACAATATCTTTTTTTTAAATTGCACATCACTCCTTTATTATACTGATCTGGAAAAAAGATTTATTACAGTTATGCTAAATGAATACTGGGCCTCTGGGGCAGGGCCAAGCAACTGGAACAAGACTCAGAAATCAGATACAGTAAAAGACACGCTTGGACATGATCAAGAGGCATGTCACTGCCACAAAACAAGGCAGAGCAGAGATTCTAAGATACATAGCAAGATACACTCCTGCACCTTACAGGCCAAGGAGCTTATCCCATATTGGTGTGAGGAATGGCTTAGTTTCTGGTGACCACATGTGGGACTAACCACCACTAGAAAAAAACCCAGAAGGGTTTTGTTTAGTACTTATTTATATATATGTATATTTTTTTCTTTAGTGAAAGTAAATGTAACAAAAGTTAGGGTTGATCCCAACATTCTGGAGCCAGCTCCTCTGGGGTAAGGGAGTTGTCTTTCTTAAATCACCATGCAGGTTACTTTTGTATTTCACTGGAATGACTAGAGCCCCCTGCTACCCATCTTCCCAGTGACCTGAATACAGAAGAGTACAGAACTGGCTCTTAGAGACACAAACAGGCTCTCTGGCTTCTTCTCACTGGTCATGCCTTGGCACAATTCCTCCCTACCCTTCTCAAGAAAAAAACCAACAACTACTACCTCAACTCTTTTGGATATGAGGAGCCTTCCCTGGGCTTAGATTGAGAACCTGTGCCCCAGAGTTTCTATTCTGATTACAATCTACAAAGGGAGTGGGTGCAGGAGACAAAATGCTAAAATTAAAGTGGGAGCTACTGGTCCCCATCTGCAGCTACAACTTAAGATGCCCACAGATGTGGTCAGTATGGTGATACAGGAGAGAGGTGCAAAGGAATGGATGGGCAGGGTCTTCCTTGGTACAGTAGTCTGCGATCTTGCCTTTATTTCTTTGCCTTGCCTGTGCAGCCACGGCTTCCATTTTTATTTTTAATATTTATTTTTTAGTTGCTGTTAGACACAATATCTTTATTTTTGTTTATTTTTTTATGTGGTGCTGAGGATCGAACCTAGGGCCTCGCACACGCTAGGCAAGTGCACTGAGCTACAACCCCAGCCTGAAATATTATTTTTAAAAATGCTATCTGCAAGACTTAAGCTTAAGCTGGACACAGAGGTGCCTGCCTATAATCCCAGCAACTGGAGAGGTTAAGGCAGGAACACAGCAAGTTGGAGGCCAGCCTCAGCAACTTAGACAGACACTGCCTTTAAAAACAAAAACAAAAAACCCATCCAATGACAAAACACACACACACACAAAAACAAACAAACAAACAAACAAACAAACAAAAAAACCAACTTAAGGGGGCTTTTACTGATCAAATCTGGTATATTTGAGAATTATACTTTACTGAATAAGATAAAAATATATGAGTTACACTTATATGATAAAATTTTAAAATTTAAAAGTGATAAGAATAGCTCTTTCATAAATAATAAATTTATAAATATACAGGAGTATGTTTAGTGTTTTCATTTGTGTTACAGTCTGGTTTAGAAGATTTGGGTTTCTTGTAGCAACAGGATTATGGTTAACATTAGTCACATATGTACATACAAATGTTTATAATGATGTATATAAATACGTATGTAAAAATATACATGGATATTCCAAGTAATTGTTTTTATATATATATATATATCTCTCTACATATATATATATATACATATATATATATATATACACACACACACACACACACACACACACAGTTTTAATTCAGAGTTACAAACTAGCATTATGGTTAGGGTTATGGATTAAAAATGTATGTAAATATATCTGAATATAAATACATAAGTAAAATCACATGAAATATATGTGCTTTTATCTTTAATTAGGTTATGGTAAGGGGAACTTTTAGGTTTTGTGTTAAACATAGGGTAAGCCTGCAGAAATGAACATATATGAAAATATATATGGATTTATGTTAATATATAAATACATACTTCACAAAATACAGAAATATTCATGAAGTGTCACTGTTTATATGTAACAATATTTATGAATCTATATTCCACAGTATATAGGTACATTCATGTAAATTGTTATGGTTATATGTATAGAGGTTTCGGTGAGGCATACCATTATTTTAGGTTTTGAACATTATTATCCAAATATATGAATATAAATATTTATGTAAAAACGTACCTGAAAATACTAAATATACAGGGATTTGTATATAGTTAATTTTCAGATGGATGTTTACATTGTTGTTTAGATGTATTTTATGAATATGTAACTGAATATATATGAAAATTTATGGGTAGGATTTTGTTTAGCATTAGGGCACATAAATATATATTTATAAACATACGAAGGAATATATATGTAAAAATATATATGGGTATCCAAAGTCATAATTATGATTTTTGTATAGAAGACTAATGATTATGGGAAGGGTTAGGTTTAGTTCTGAGTTAGGTTGAGGATGAGGGTTTACCACTGGAATACATATCAATATTTATGTAAATACATATTAATATAGAATTAAAATTATATACAAAATTTTATAAATATACTTTCATCTATGGCTATTTTAAAGTTATATAGTATTTTTAAGCAAGTGTTAAATCTGGGTTTGCCTATGGACATGGATATATAGGTAAAATATTTATGGATTTTTATGTGACTTTTAAAACTTATATCCCCAAATATAGGGGTACATTCATGTAAAGTAATCTGGTCTATATGTCTAGAGGTTTCTGTTGAGCCGTAGTGGTAGAGACAGGATTATTTGTGAAAAAGGATTAAGATTAGAGTTAGGGTTTGAATGTTTATGTCCATATATATAAACACAATGTGGATATATATGTAAAATATATACTAAAATATTTATTATCTCAATTTGTATATAGTTGAGTTTGGTGTTGAAATGGATGTTCACAATTTGATTTACACATAGGTTATAACTATGTAACTGAATATGTATGACAATTTATGATTTTGATTACCAATGGGGGGTGGGTATGTGTGTGTGTGTGTGTGTGTATGTATGTATGTATGTGTGTGTGTGTGTGTATATATATATATATATGAATGAATATAAGCATACCTAGAAATATATGTGTAAAAACATACACAGATATTAAAAACAGCTCTTTCATTTAGTAAGAGACAGTTAATAAATACACAAGGCATGGTGACATATATTATATCACCATTTGGCATACATTATCATAACTAATCCTGATAAGAATCACTAATGGATCTTAACATTAGTGAGTGAAGTTTTGAGAAATTATATATTTTTACATATACTCAAAGCATATAAGATAAATTTTAATTTAGCTTTACAAAAATTTGATAGTGGAGAAATCTGGCAGGCACCATTTTAACTAAACGATCAAAGTTAACACTGCAGGAATGGGCATATTGACAGCATGTGCTCCCTAGTATGATGCATTGAGAACTTGGCACAACTTCTGTGGTATTCCTGCCAAAAGCAATGAGAATCTAAGCATGAAAAAAACACCAGACAAATCCAAAATGAGAGACACAGTAGAAAATAACTGTCCAGTATTCTTCAAAAATGTTACTGTCATGAAATACACAGAAAGATTAGGGAAATTATCCAAATTAAAGGAGACAACTGAAAAAAAATTTTTTTTGAAATGTCAAAACTCTGGGGTTGGGAAATAATTCAGTGGCAGAATGTGTGAGGTACTGGTTTCAATCCAAGCAACAACTTGCTCCCAAAGCCAAAATTAACTGTTATCTACTTAGGTCAATATATTTGAACAATATATTTTGTTACTTAATTATGTTCTTGAATAAAAAATTAAGTGGATAGGGCTGGGGTTGTGACTCAGTGGTAGAGAGCTCGCCTAGCATGTGAGAGGCCCTGGGTTTGACCTCAGCACCACATAAAAGTAATAAAGGTATTGTGTCCAACTACAATTAAAAAATAAATATTTTTTAAAAAATTAAGTAGATAAGGATTTTAGATATATGAGACAAATTTTAAAAACACTTTTTTTAATTGTTCATGGATCTTTATTTTATTTATTTATATGTGAAGTGCTGAGAATTGAACACAGTGCCTCACGCATACTAGGTAAATGTTCTACCACTGAGCCAGAACCCCAGCCCTCTATTGTTTACTACCATTATAGTATTGTAGCAGAAAGAATATTGTTTCAATCTCTCTAAAACTTTTTTTAAAATAGGGAAGACATGGGCTGGGAACTGGTACAGTGCTTGCCTCACATGCCCAAGGCCCTGGGTTCAATCCCCAATATCACCCCCTGCCCCCCCCCCCAAAAAAAAAAATATATATATATGAATGAAAGAATTAAAGTAGGATGCAAAGACTATAGGACAAGAAACCAGAAAACCTAAGGTTCAAAATGTGTATGAATTACCATATAATCATGCATGGTTAATTTCTCCATTTGTAAAATATGAATACATGTACAATCCACAGGGACATATAGAATGTAAAATAATGTGAAAAGATAATCAAATAGTTAGGCATTCAAGGTAAGGTTTTATTATATAATGCAGGTGCTTCCAGCCTATGTACTTCTACACATTTTTCCCTCTTCCTATATCATTTTCCATGCTATAATCTGCTACCTACTCTCTTTAAGAATGTTACAGATATTATTTAGATTAGTGTTTTTTGTTTTTAATTTTTTTTTCTTCTGGGCAACAGAATACTTTTTTTCCCCCCTCAATAAATTACTTGGGTTTCCAAATATCAGATAGAGGTACAACTTATAAGTGAAATAAGGGCAAAACACCAGAGTCCTGCTTGTTAAACGTCAGCTTCCCATACCACTATAACTGCCATAGGATCCAAGAACTCGGAGTAGTTTTTAAAAATTTAGGAACTAGGGTCTGGGGTTGTGGCTCAGTGGTGGAGCACTTGCTTATTAGCATATGTGAGGCACTGGGTTCGACTCTCAGGATTGCACATAAAAAAATAAAAATATAAGTTCTATCAACAATTAAAAACAATGTTTTAAAAACTCTATCAACTGGGCTGGGGATGTGGCTCAAGCGGTAGCGCGCTCGCCTGGTATGCGTGCGGCCCGGGTTCGATCCTCAGCACCACATACACACAAAGATGTTGTGTCCGCCGAAAATTAAACAATAAAAATTAAAAAAAAAAAAAACTCTATCAACTAAATTGAGACCAAGCATCCCTGGAATCTCAAAACTCAGGAGAAACAAGGAAAGAGTTTGATATCAGCCTGGGCAACATAGTGAGACACTATCTCAAAAAACCAAACTGTCCCCACCAAAACAGTCTGCTAGGAGTATAGCTTAGTGTTAGAAGATGTACTTAGCATGGGCAGGACCCCAGGTTCTTCCCTAGAATGTATATGCAACCTTTGTTTTTGTTTTGTTTGTTTGGTACTGGGGATTGAACCCCCGAGCCACTTCCCCAGCCCTTTTTTATATTTTACTTAAAGATAGGGTCTAACTGAATTGCTTAGGGACTTGCTAAGTTACTGAGGCTGGCTTGGAACTTGCAATCCTCCTGCCTTAGCCTCCTGAGCCTCTGGGATTACAGGTGTACACTACCTTGCCTGGCAAGTTACAGTCTTTGTTTTATAGTTGAGAAAACTAAGGCTCCAGAAAAATAAAAATGATTTATTCAGGTTTCTACTGGTTAATAACTAGTCAAGACATGGTTACAATTCAGGTCTTTCAATTGCTAGTCCAGGTGTCTTTCTATGCTGCTACATCCAGTACCTGTTTATTTCTTTTCTGAATGTCCACAGTACTTCACCTCTTCAGGTATTTTTCATTTTTATCTCTCACTAATTTACATGTAAGTCTCCTTCTACTAGACTAGTTCCTAGAGGAACATGTCTGATGTCTTGTAATGTCATAGTGCCTAGTACATACAAAGCAATCAAATGTGTAAATGAGTAAAGGAGAACACAGTAATAACCACAGTGATTCTTTCCCTATTGATTCAGGCTCCAATGGTTCCACATTTATCCTTGTCCAATACTCCTCTAAAAAAAACTCTCCAGGGGCTGGGGTTGTGGCTCAGTGGCAGAACACTTGCCACTGAGGCACTGGGTTCAATCCTCAGCAACACATATAAATAAATAAATAAATAAATAAATAAATAAATAAAGGTACGTCAACTAAAAAATATTAAAAACAAAAACAAAATAACAACTCTCCAAATGGTGCTATTTGCTACCTGTGACTTAAAAACTGATGTCTCAGTTTATAAGTCTTCCTTGATTTACTGAAACCCTGACTAATGTTTTAGTATAAAATTTGTATTACTTCTTTTATATATATTCTTTTGAAATCACTCTATTCCCAGTGTTTGGGCCCCTCTGAATGTATAATCCCTACCCTTACCTGCCCAGGTGCTGGGGATTGAAACCAGAGCCTTGAAAATGTCAGACAAGCACTCTACCACTAAGATATATCCTATCCCTTTTTATTTTATGTTGAGATCTTCCTGCATCACCTCTTGAGTAGCTGGGATTACAAGTGTATGCTCCCATGTTCAGCTTGAATAATATAATGTTTATCCTTATAGCTTTCGGGAACAATTACTTATATATTGTATAATACTTGATTGTTACATATACAGGGTTCTCATCTTATATGGGGATTAGATTTTCAAGTCACAGCCTAATATAGATCATAATCAAATCGTGTTTGAAAATTCCACTGGTTATCCATAAGCATGGTAAGACAGGCATGAGAGAACTGGAACTGATCAATCTAATAAGCATCTCAAGCTCACTCTGTGCCTACTGAGAAGTGCTGGCAGAATCACCTGTACTATTTCCATCTCCTATGGAAAGCATGTTACTACAGCTGCCTTCTGTAACATGAAAGCACAATACATCATCACTGAAGACCCCAACTATATCCTACATATTTCCTAGCACATACATTCATAATAAGCATTTGTTGTTTTGGTTCTTAGGTTTCTTGCCCCCAAACTTAACAACATTTTTAAATAATCCTACAACCAAACAAAATAAATACAAAATAGAAATATCCAGTTTTTGTAGGTGCTACAATTTAGTAACACCATTAATATAACCTATAATTTGTCATTAATACTCTCCTAAAAGAACTGGTTAAAGTAAAATAAAAGATATTAACTTACATCTTCATCTTCATTAAAAGCTGCTGCTACTGAAAGGGTTTTTGGAGCAAGAGTTGGAACAGTTTCTTTAGGCTTCTGAAGAAGAAACGTTAAAAAGAACACTAGATGAGTCACATTTGTAGAGAACTGTTTGATATAAATCTTGAAAAATTCAACTTTGTTTTCATAAATTTATATAGTAAGGAACCTAGTATTTGCACTATGTCTGAAAATGCAGGTTATCTGTGGGTAGGTTCAACTTTGTTATTTATTATACCCATTTGTTTACCTATTAGAAAAAATAATTCTCCAGCTAGGATCTATAATTTAATATTACTTAAGCCAAAGGGTATTTGATACAAAATGATAAATAATACGTCCCCATAGTAACAATTAGTATAAAAGTGCCTTGAGAACATACAAGGCATCATGACTCATCTTCTTCTACCCTTTTTACTAAAACTCTACATCTATCCTTTTTACCCTTTGGGCTTCAGACAAGTCATCATTTCTATATGACCAAAATTTTTAACAAAATAAACTATTCTATCTCCATTCTCTCACCACCCATTTAGTCTTCACCCTACTACAATCTAGCTCCCACCCTAACCATCTACCATCGCCCTAGAATTATTCTTTATGAGGTCACCAATAACTGGTGTGCTGCATTTGATTCTAACCACCAGCTTCTTTTTGAAAACATCTCTCCCTTGTCTTCTGGAACAATTTTTTTTTTTTAATTGGTTAGTCTGCTAATTCTCTGACCTATTGTTTTCTCTCCCCCTTCCCTGCTGCTCCTCACTTAACAATACAGATACCTAGGATTCTACTACTGGTAGCAACCTTTCATTCTTTGTACTTCCCAGGTCAATTTCATTCATTTCCATAGTTTCATTCATTTTCCATAGGTTCCATGGTTAAAAAAATATTAATTTGAGGTTTATATCTTAAAACAAGGGATCGAACATTGATCTTTAAAAGATTACTGCTTTAAAGTACATAGTACTCAAGGTCCAGTTTTAGTTTCAAAGATAATCAGAAAGCTTTTCTTATCAAGCAATATCTTACTAAAATTAATCTTTTAAGATACAAATAACTGATTTCTGGAGATATTACTTTTTTGTGTTGTACCAAGGATCAAAGCAAAAGCCTTCCAAATGCTAACCACATGCTCTACCACTGGGCTATCCCCTAGTCCATAGATATTGTTACTGAAACTGAAAGATTAAAAAAAAAAAACACAAAAAAAACCCCCTGAAATTCTTTCTCAAAATATCTTTCAGAGGTCTTGCTTAACTGATACAAACTCACTACTTTATAAATCATGCATTTTCTATAATATTGTTCCTTCTAAAATTCTACATCTTTGTTAAAAACTGATTTTATTGAGATAATTCATCTTGATCTTTCCTAAAGAGTGCTAATCACTTCTTAAATACATATAAGTTAATACATGAAAGATTAAGAAATGCATCTTTAAAAAAACTTCTTTTAGTTGTAGATGAACACAATACCTTTATTTACTTATCTTTATGTAGTACTGAGGATCCAACCCAGTGACTCACATGTGCTAGGTGAGCACTCCACCACTGAGCCACAATCCCAGCCCGGAGAAATGCAACTTCTTATACTTAATTTACCATAACCTGGTAAAAGCAGGTTTCCAAAACAAATCCTTAATACCCATTACAAATATCATACATAAAGTAACTTACACTTGATCCAAGTTTGATGGATATGGCTGATGCTTTCTTAGTTGTCTGACTACCTATGGCAAATCCAAACTTGGAGATCTTTGTAGGCTTTGTTGGGAGGTCTGCAGCTTCTTCTTCAGCTGATCGCTTCTCAGCGCTGCGACTGGAACTTTCCCCTCCATTACTGGAAGAAACAGTCTTAGTTTTCACAGGTTTTTCTGCTTCTTCTTCAGGTCCTGGTGAAGTCGAAACAACTTACCAAGATGAGCTATTTTTACTGAGCAGATTGATGGGAGCAGCAACCTCAAAAAGCATCGTTATAAGGAAGATACCTCTGCAGTTGTCACCTACTGACCCAACAGTCTCTTCCACTGTTTGTTAGAGTATATAGCAGGAACTGAGATTGTGTGGCAGTAGAAGAGGCTCCCATGAATTAACTAGCATAAAATACAGAGCAATTTAAAATTATAAACATAGAGTTCACAAAAAAGTAAAGACCCTTCAACTAAATACTACCACAGACATCATACAATAATATAGTTATTTGTGGAATTCTGCTTTTTTAGAAATCAAGATCTATAAATTATTTTTTGCAAACTAATCTGTGAGGAATCAGTCATGTGGCAAGATAATACATTTGGCTAATAAATTCTAACATTCTCAATAATGTGTATGAGTCACACAAAGTATCTTGTCATGTAAAGGACCATTATTATCCAAACTTCAGTATTAACACAGCCTAGTTATATTTTTGAGTGATGTGTTCTTCATGTACATCTCACACAATCTTAGGAGTTGAAAAAGAACTTCAAAAAGTCTAGTCAACTCCTCTTGAGTAATTTAATTCTCCTCTGAAAGCATGGTTATCACCTGTTTTAAGCTACCTGTAAGCACTAATACAAGTCTTGGTTTACACGTTACATTTTCTACTTCAAACAGTAGAAAGCATACATATATAGGTTTGGAAGTATGTTGTCTTTTAGTAATTTTGCCTGTATTTGTATTCAGTCAATTGTGAGTTTGCATCTAGAATATCTTAGATCTCTTACATAAGAAGACTAATTATGACGCAGGGCATGGTGGCCCATGCCTGTAAGCCCAGCAGGTGGGAGAATGAAGCAGGAGGACCACAAGTTCAAAGTCAGCCTCAGCAACTTAGTGAAGCCTGAAGCAACTCCGCAACTGTCTCAAAATAAAAAGTAAAAAGGGCTGGGGATGTGATTCAATCGCTGGTACAAAAACAACAACAACCCAAACCAAACGGGGATGTAAGACATCATTCATCAATTCATCATCACCATCAAAAATTTTATATTCTCTCTCTAATATGCCAATTCACCCCATAGAATGTATTGTTACATTAGATAAAGAGTTCACTTGTGAGTAAAGAGAAGATGCTTTGGGGTACAGTCTAAAGAAAATGGGACAAAAAGTTAGAATGGGGTAAGCAGGAGGTGGGGGAACCAAACATTAACAGACCGATGAGCAAAAGATAGAAAGAATTGAGGTTATAGATCTAAAACTGTATAGTTTTGAAATGATAGCACTTTGAATAGAAAATTTGATTTTATTTAGACAAAAAAATAAAAGGAAATTTATTCTCTTTGGACAAAGGGTGAAAGTTGTAGTGACAATGTAGGGAGGAGTAGTTAAGCAGGATTAAGCTCGGGATTTATCTAAAAGGGAAATATAGTGTTGGAATATTGCTTTAAGTGCCATTCACTTATTTATATGTGAAATTACAAAAGCATCTAAAGAGTTAAAGACTGTTATTCAATAGCTGAGAAGTAGAACTTTTTAATAAATATACAATCTCTTTAAAAAATAGTATGATGTAAATATTAAGTTTTTCATTCTATGTTTACAACTAAAAGCATTTATACTAATTTATGCTACGTTAGTTTTAAGTATGATATTTCATAATAAAACTCAAGCAAAACTGTGATGATGCACAGTTAAAATTGGAAATTTGGTTGTACATATTTAAACATACAGAAAACCCATTGGCTTTACATATTACAGTCTATAAAGGCACAAATTGTGTGCAAACAAATTTGGAAAACATTAAAATAAAGAGCATAAAGAACGCTTTAGACTTGATTGTAGTGTAACTCTTCTTTTTGAATCATGACCCAAAGGCAATAATTAGTTAAGATTTCCAATTCTTTTAAAGCCTATCTTTTCTTTTAGTTTCCTTTTCTAAAAATAATCTTAGAACAGGCAACTTGGAAAATTTAAAGTATAAATAAGAAAAAGGGAAAAGATTCTTATTATAATGTTAAATGTGTCAGCTAGCTGAAATTGGATGTGTAATAAATGGACTACAATACTGTCCAATCCCATTAGAAGAAATCTTTCTAGAGATTTCCATGGAGATTACTTCAGAAAAAGGTAGCATGGAGAACTATTCTACTATTCATTTCATAATCAACTGGTAACAACTTAATCCCATTCACATCTGTTCTTCTCATCTGAAGAGGCATACTAGACCATCCATATCACAGGTCCACACAAAAGATCAAATACATACTGTTATGTGTTTTTGGTACAGGGATTGAAACCAGGGGTGCTTTACCACTGAGCTACATCCCTAACCCTTTTAATTTTTCATTTTGAGACAGGGTCTCACTAAATTGCTTAGGGCCTTGCTAAATTGCTGAGGCTATTCTTGAATTTGTGGCGCCCAAGCCACTAAAGTTATAGGCATGGCCACTGGGCACCCCCTTCTTGTTTATTTTTGTGGTGTTTCAAATATGATAGGCAAGCACTCTACCACTGAACTACACCTCCATCCCACACTATGTTTATTAGGTTTTTTCCTACACGTGACTGAGTCCAGATCAAGCAATTTATTTCTGTACATAATAAATAAATTGGCCTTCCCAAACAAAAAAAGTGTTTTTGGTTTTGTTTTTAAAGCCACTGTAAAAACTATACGAACATCTTCAGATCAGAAGATGACTAGATGAGGGAGAAATGAAGGAAGGAAGGTACACGATCAGCTCTCCTTTTTTATTTTTAGTTGTAGATGGACACAACACCTCTATTTATTTATTTTTATGTGGTGCTGTGGATTGTACCCAGTGCCTCACATAGTGAGGCAAGTGCTCTACCGCTGAGCCACAATCCCAGCCCCTCCTACCTTTATTTTTTTTATTTTTTTGAATATTTTTCATATTTATTTTTTAATTTTCGGCGGACACAACATCTTTCTTTGTATGTGGTGCTGAGGATCGAACCCGGGCCACACGCATGCCAGGCGAGCACGCTACTGCTTGAGCCACATCCCCAACCCCTACCTTTATTTTTATTTACTTATTTTTTGTGGTACTGGGAATTTAACCCATGCACTCTACCACTGAGCTACACCCACAGCCTTTCTTATTTTTATTTCGAACAGGGTCTCCCCAAGTTGCTAAGGCTGGCCTTGACCTGTAATCTTCCTGCCTCAGCCTCCCCAATGCCTGGGATTACAGGATCACACCACTGTACTCAGCTTCATTTCTTAGCTTCTAAAGGCTCAATGTGTCACATGGATTGAGCTTCTATTTTATCTTTATATAACGCTCTTAACAATTATGTGGCAAACCACACAAAGTACTTAGAAAATAAAGCAAAAGGAATAAACAATGGACTAAGATGGGAAAACATGAGAGCCAAATCCGTTACCATTATTTAAAATGAGACATCCTGTATTTTGGGTCTGTGGGAAACAAAAGTTTAGATGACCAATAATTATTAAATGTGAAGATTTTTAGTAAAGTGAATTGTAGTTTAAAAATGAACACATAATCAATATTTTTAAAATAAGAAATCATGTATCAATTTATAACATAAACATGGATAAAATACAAACTATAATTCTTTATCAAAGAACATTTTAATAAAAGGGATTTTGTTTAATTTGTATTCATTTTGAGCAAACAAGATGCATAGATTAATTAATGTGAAATCAAATTGCACATTATGCTAATAGTTTTTTCTTTTTCCTTTTTCACTGAATAGGTGGGGTATGCCTTAGAGCACAAGGGTACTTTGTTTTGAAAAAATTACCCAATAAGAAAGTATGTCTATAATGGTACCCCTCGAGACCCATTTGCATTCTGTCGGCTTCCTTATCCAAAAAAGGGCACACAGTTATTCTGTGATAGGACTGGTGTGCCATTTATATGAGAATGTATTCAAGACCCTATTAAGTGTTTGGCACAGTAAATGTCAATTTCACTGAAGAAGTTCTTAGCATAATCTTTTAAAAATATTTTTTACTTATAGATAGACAAAATACCTTTATTGTATTTATTTTTTTTTAATTGGTCCAGAGGATTGAACCCAGTGCCTCACACTTGCTAGGTAAGTGCTATACCACTAAGCTACCACCCAAGCCCTTAGCATTAGCTTAAGATTATGTAAATATAGTTCTTTAAAATTGTATTTATCTTAAAAAGCTATAAAAATTTAACCAAAAAGAGGAGGAAAAAAAAATCTATCCAAAGTGTAACTCCTCTTTAAAATGAAAACAGGTAGTTCAAGTAAGTAGCGTCTCTCTCAGACACACATTAACTACAGAAGTAATCTGCTCATAAAAACCCACATACTTCTGGGGCTAGGAGTGTAGCTCACTAGTAAAGCACATGCTTAGCATGGTGAGGCTCTGGGTTCAATCCCTTGCACTAACAAAAGATTAAAAAAAAAAAATGAAGTGTTTATATTTCCAATGTAATGGATTACTCAATAGGAATAAAAATTCTGAATACTCTCTTGGTTTGTCCATAGGACAAACATGACAGTGTTCTTTAAAAAGTGACTACTTGCAACAAAATTATTAATGTAGAAATATCCAAAGTATGAAATGTTTTAACTATGATTACTTAGCACAACTGCATTAAAAACATGTGACATTCCAGGGCTGGGGTTGTGGCTCACAGGTAGAGCGCTCCCACAGCATGCGTGGGGCACTGGGTTCAATCCTCAGCACCATATAAAGTAAAATAAAGACACTGTGTCCACCCATAACTAAAAAATAAATATTAAAAAAAAAAGATATCCCAAATATAGCTTAGATGCAACAGCACTACTTTTTTGTAAAGGAAATGAGGCTAATGATGTAGAAATTCAGGGATAGTAGTTATTCTAAGTTACCAACAAAAACAATAGTAATTTTTCTGATACTAAAGCAAGGTAATTTTTTCTTTTTTTTGTACGCAGGGGCATTAGACCACTGAGCCACATCCCCAGCCCTATTCTGTATTTTATTTTGAGACAGGGTCTCACTGAGTTGCTTAGCGCCTTGCTTTTTGCTGAGGCTGGTTTTGAACTCCCCATCCTCCTGCCTCAGCCTCCTGATCTGCTGGTATTACAGGTGTACCCACCAATTGCTCCCCAAGCAAAGTAATTTTATAATCCCCAAACACCCTAAAATGGAAACATGAATATTCATAATACAGAGTTAACTACTCTCAACTGAAAGGTGGCAGGAAGATTACAGTGTCTTTATGCTAACATTTAAAGTATATTCTGGCAGCACATTAAACACATCTCCTCCACTCTTTAAAGTCAGGAATACAGAAGATGCTTTAGGCTCTGTATTTTTGCTTTTCCTCAAATTACTTCTAAATTTTTACATAATTTTACTTGACAGTTTCTCAGGTTTTTTTTTTTTTTTTTTTGGTCAGAAAAAAAAAAATATTCCAGACAAGTGCTAGATGTTTTACACTGTTTCATAAGCTATTTTACTGCTTTTAATAAACAGGGGTGGGGGGCTTCATTTCTGCCAATAACAACTCTCCATATTTTTTAAAAAGAAATTCTGAACATTACACTTTTTCAATATTTTTTTTTGATCCCACTACAATTCACATTAAACATGTTAGTAGGTCATATTATTTGCTTTCATGTGCTATTAATCTTCTGTATTTTCTCATATTAAATACTTTCAGGGATAAGACTTAACGGAGTCAGAATAGAAAATAACATTTAAAAAGCGTTCTAAACAAGACAATATAATCAGCTCCCACATAAAAGTCACTCGTCTTGCTGTGACGGGGGTTGGGGGGGAAGGGGGGTGCCCTGGGGAGATTGTTTCTTCTCCTTAATGCAAAAGATCTGGAATTTATGAGGGTAGCGGGGCCAGAAAAGGAGAGCTGTAACCTTAGTTCAATACTGTATCAATACACAGTAAGAGTCACACTAGACTACTAAGCCACTTAAATTTATCTGGCTTGCGATGAACTGGTAGTAGCCTAATTAGGAAAGGCATACTTCCGAGAAAGGCGATCAAACCAGAACCCTAGAAACCCACAGCTTAAATCAGCGGGTGATCTTTTCCTCCATCCCCTCTGTCCATCTCATTACAGGGTCACTATTATGCCTGAAAGTAAAGGAAAGAGCAGGCCGGGGTTGTCCACCTCCTCAGTGAAAAGGGAACGGCAAGCGTAATTAACTCCTACGTGTGTAACTGAGAGATCTGCACCTTTGGAAACTCGGCCTTGGGCCAGTTTCCGCGGCCACTGCTCGGTGGCTCACACTGTGTGTGTTTGTGTGTGGGGAGTGAGAGTGTGTGGTGGTGTGTTTTGTGTGATGTGTGTCTCCGCTGTGGAGGTAGCGGCTCCTGCACCGCCGCTCCGGGTCCCACCCCAACTCCAGTCTCCCTTTCTGGTGCCCATCTTCCTTCTCAGAAGGAGGGCCTCCACAGGGGCCATGAGGTGAGGGACAGTGGCCAGCTCTCTCCCAGCAAGGAAGCGATATGGGTCGGGATTCCAGCGGGCCGCACCAGGCGTGCCCGGGGCTCGCCTGGGCCCAGCACCTAACCGAGTGAGCGCCAGATTCGCCCAATCTTTCTCCTCCCCATTCCCCCCACCCCGGGGAGCTCAACGAAAGGCCAAGAGCATCCCACACATCCCGCGACGCTGGGGTTGTGTTCACCTCCGGCGGCTCCAACTCGCTGCGGCTTTTCAGGCTTCTCCTCTCCCGCCTTCCAGTCCGCCATTTTCCCCGCCGCGGCCTCCCCTGCAGCTACGCCAAGGACGTCATGGCCCCGCCCAGCAACCATTGAGCTTTAGAGCCATCTGGAGAGGTCGCTGACTAGAGAGGCCCAGATGAGTGAAAAGGGGGACCGCCCAAGACAAGCGGATGTGACGTCATCGAGCGACTGCCTCTGAAGAAAGGGAGGGGAAAGAGGAGCGCTGGGATTGGCGTTCTATGCATCGGACTGGGTAGGGAGAGGCACGTCAGTGGCAAATCCGGAGAAGTGATGGGATGTGAGAACGTAACCCTGGAGACGTTGGCGGAGCCTTAGCAGGTTTCTGCTTTTGCAGATGTGCTTGCAGTTGAAGCTGGCAGGGTCTTTCTGGCTTTCCTGGTCACATGTGCCCAGGAAAGGTGGAGGCAGGGTGGGGAGGCAAAGAGTGCTGTATTTTCCCTAAGGGAAAACCAACATTTATCGAGCACCCTCTAGTGTTAGACATACACTATGGTTTAGTCCTCACTATAATCCAATGATGCAGAATTATCTTAATTTTCTGAGTTAAAGCTGAGAATAATTTGTCCAAGGTCGTGTGCCGAAGTGATAAAAAACCATTTTTTTTCCCAAAGGCTGCAATTTCTCCATCAAATTAAGATTACCGTAATTTCTGCATTACTTGGAAACCTTTAGTGGAGTTTTAAGTTCTGCAGAATGAAGCGCATACGTTACACGTGGCCTCCTCGTCCCGTTTTCTCTAATTTATCCTGTCCTTTAGCCAAATGGGGTCGATTACTTGCTTAGGTAGGGAACTGGAGTTTCAGAGTTTACCTTACAATATATGTAGTCAGTGTTACAGAACAAAGGGTTTTTGTTGTTGTTTTGTCTTGTTTTTGTACCGAGGATTGGACCTTTACCACTGAGCACATCCTTGGTCCTTTTTATTTGGTGTACCAGGTGTAGCCAAATTCCTGAGGCTGACCTCGAACTTGTTATGTGCCTCCACTTCCCCTGTCACTGGGATTACAGCCATGAGGCACAGCGTCAAGAAAAAACAATCTCTAAAATCTGATCTGCCCTTCTCCGGTTAGGTAACTTTGAGAGTTGCTTATTGTCCACAGACTTGCCTTTGTTTTTCCATAAAATACAATAATAGTGCTTCTTCAAAGGGTGATTATGGGGATCAAATTAGATAATTTATATATGCCATTCTTTGTTCACTTTATACTTCTCTCAGTGTGTTTCTTAAAAGCGTTGGGTCTCGGGATATAGCTCAGTTGCTAGAGTGCTTACTTCTCATAATAAGGCCCTGGGTTCTATCCCCAGCACCATTAAAAAAAAAAAAAAAAAAAAAAGCAAGCATCGTCTTTAAATGGTTCAAAAATTCCTTAGGTCCGACATTATGTTTCAGTGGTAGTGTGTGACCTTAGCACACACATGACCAAGAACCAGAGGTCCAGCCCCAGCATGAAGAAAAAAGGAATACATTGACAACAGATAACCATCAAAAAAAAACTTTTTTCACAACTTTGTACAAGACATTTCATGTATAAGAGGTGCTCAGTATTGTGGATGGATGACTTTAGGCTTCAAGTCTGTGGATAGGGAAACAGAAATAGGGCAGTTTGCAGTGGCAGAGGTCTGCAATCCCAGCTAGGTGGGAGGCTGAGGCAGGATTACAGTTTCAAGGCTAGACTTAGCAATTTAGTGAGACCCTGTCTCAAAAAAGGGAGCGGGACTGGGGATGTGACTCATGGTAAAGCACTCCTGGGTTAAATCCCCAGTACAAAAGAAAAAAAAAATAGGATAGTTCGGTGACTTTATAATCAAAATTTAAGTCCCTGGTCTACTATTTATCTTTATATGTAGAAGTGATCAGAAAACTTAGAGTACTTGTGTTTGTTTCATCTTTCGTACATGTGATCTTTGCAAGGTAATCATTTATACTCTCACTATAGAAGGATGAAGAATTGTAATCCATTCATCCATCATTCCCAAGAGGTCAAATTATGCCTATCTTGCTCAACACAGTTTCCCCCAGGAAACATATCACTGTTGATAAATACTAACTGAAAAAAAAGCAGGTTTCAGTAATTCACCTCAAATGGGTTAAGGAATGAAATAGTAGTTTAGTGCAAAGCAAAGACAGTAGTTTTGCATCACACAAAACTGGATTTAAGTTCTGATTCTGCCATTAGCTAATTGTTTAAGTTTGACTGATAATATTTCTAAATATATTTTAACTATAAAAAATGCTTCTAGGATTACTGAGTATAATGTGAGATAATGGAAGTAAAATTAACAACATGCTGCCAGTCAGGGTGGGGCTTGCTTAATGGTAGCTTGTTTATAACCTCCAAAGAATCATTCAAATAATGGTTTTAAAAGCTGGAAATTGAAGATAATATGAACAATTATTATTTTAACTTAGATGTGTAATTTATAAGGTTACAGCTATACATTTATTCATATTTACTGTATGTAGGTATTTAACATGAAACTACGTACATTAAATGATTACAATCCTAATTCGTGCTTACTGTCATTTATGGACAAGGAAACTGGGATATGGAAAAAGCTAGTTAAGAAGTGGAGCTAAGCTGGGCATGGTTGCACATGCCTGTAATCCCAGCAGCTCCAGAGGCTGAGGCAGGAGTTCAAAGCCAACCTCAGCAAAAGCAAGGCACTAAACAATTCAGTAAGACCCTGTCTCTAAAAAAAAATACAAAATAGGGCTGGAGATGTGGCTTAGTGGTGGAATGCTCCCCACCTCACCCCCCCCAAAAAAGTGGCGCTTAATGTACAATTCAGGCAGAGAACTACAACAAAATGCAATTTCATTCTAGCCCCAATGCTGCCAAGAAGTTTTAATCCCTTATTTTTAACCCCTACAGTACTATTTTTTTTTCCTTGAATGTATCTCAGGCAGTTCAGGAACTTGCCTTTTATTTATTTACTTATTTTTTAATACTTCCTTCAGTGTGTTTCTTAAAAGTAAGCATTGGGGTGATTAGATTCGAGGGCATTCAACCACTGAGCCACATCCCCAGCCCTGTTTTTGTCTTTTATTTAAAGACAGAGTCTCATTGAGTTTATCTTAGAGTTTCACTTTTGCTGAGGTTGGCTTTTGAACCGGAGATCCTCCTGCCTCAGCCTCTGGTGCTGCACCTGGCAATAACTTGCCTTTTAATAGGGACTAACAGTTGGAATTCTTAGCAAACTTCTCATTGTCAGGTCTGAGTTTGCATATTACTTTCTCAAGGCCTTTCTTGATCCCACAATGTGGGTTATATAATAAATTTAAAGGTGGGACTCTAGTGAATCTACATTTGAAAGCTAAATTATTTTTATTATTTGTAAAAAATGTGTTAATGATAGTATGTACAACTTAGTTGTTTAAATAATTCATGCAAATGGCATACTAAGCTGTTTGGCATTAAGCTGGTAGTACACTACTTTGTAGATTAGATCCTATTTTGGAAATGTATTCAACATAATTATCTCATGCTAATTTTGAACTCAGAAACTAGGGAGAAATAGTTTCATTAGCCTTAATATTATTTCCATTATCCATTTTTCAGAATTTTTAATGGTGCAGGTAGCCTACAGTGAATATCCTTCCTAAAGTTAATTTCTTAGGAAATAAGTATATATTTTCCCCAAGTATATTAGGACTTATTTGGTAGCAAGGAGTACAAATCCAACTCACGTTGGCTTAGGCAAAAAAAAAAGGGTGCAATTTATTAAAAGCATGCCATGGTATTCCTTGAGGTTTAAGCAACAAGGAGTAAATTATAACTGGACATCAGGAACAGCTGGAACCAGGGATTTGAACGGCTCCAGAAATTGGTCTTGTTTCTGTACATAATCACTATAGATTGGCTTATGCCATAATAAAAGGTATGGTTACCAGCAATTCCAGAGCTTCCTGTCTATCAAACTCTACCACCTCAAATCCAGAAATCCTGGAAAAGTTATGACTGGCCTATCTTGAAAGTCAGACTCTCAACCCTAGACTGATGTTGCCCAAGGTAGGTTGAATACTATGGAAAGCCCAGCTTGAATGAGGTGTCTCTTTTGAATAACCGCAGTGACCAGGGGAGCCATGTCTGTAAAATATGGCAATTTCCATTCAAACCATGTAGCTGGAGAAACAATATTTCCTAGAAAAGAAAAGCCATCAACACTACAGCAGACAAAGTACTATATGCAACATTAAACAAATAAAACCTCTTATTCCTTGTAGGACAAGAAATTAGTTTTATCTCCACAAACTAGTTTTTCAAAGAAGAGTCAAATCACAAGACACACCCAGGGGACTGGGGTTGTAGCTCAGTAGAATGCTTGCCTAGCATGTGTGAGGCACTGGGTTCGATTTTCAGTAGCACCAAATATAAATAAATTAAAAAAAGGACATGCCCAAGGATGTCTCAGCCTTTGTTAAGATTCAGTTAAGCACTATATCTTAGTGCCTATGGCATGCCTAGCATTGTGCCAATCTTGAATTTAGTAAGTGAACCCCCACCTGAAGTTTAGAAACCTTTTCTAAAACCTGTTTTTCATGAAAGAATGGTTGCTGACATGGAATATTTATCAAGTAAAAGAGAATATGAGGCTCGATCCATTAAAGTCACACCAACAGTACAACTGTTTTATTGGGTTCACTTCAAGATTTGCTTTAACACACCCAAACAACCTTCTCTGATTTTCTTTTTATGGTAATATGAAATATATTTTCAAGGTTTTGCAGATTTTAAGTAACTAGGAATAGATTAAACCTTGCAGTTAGTTTGAACAAACTGCCTTTTAAAGAAAGGGAAAGGAATTCTGTTCAGGAAGAAACACTAATAAAACTATATTTCCACTCAATTTTTAAGCTAATAAATTTTCTTATTCAAGCTACCTTTTCTGTGTGCACATATGAACGTTTTGGAAAAGAATTAAAACTCTTTGCCTTTTTCAATCTGTTGACAAATGCTTGAGAATGCTGAGAAATTTCCAAATAACCAGTATGTTTTCTCTTAGGAACAAACTTCAGAGCCTCTTCCCAACTACCAGTATTTTTCAGACACAACAAAATACGCATCATTTGATCTAAGGTGAGATTTTTGGTACCAATATCCCATTGTAAATATTTATCTAATGGAAGGCATTCTGTTGCCAATTTTAGCCGTTTTGCCTTAGCTAGGGATATACCTGGTTGCATATTTTTGTCAACAAATGATCCAATTACATAAATTCTGTCATGCTTGAAAGTAGTCATAACATTGGGAGAATCTGCAGTTAAATATATAATATTGTCCTTTGGAAATAAATCTACATGAGACTTTTCTGTAGCTGTTAAAAGCAACTTGTCCCATTTTTCTCCATAACGTTTAACTAACTCTCTCTGATAAGCACCATCTATTTTAAGATTGCAGAAGTAAATATGGAAAGGATCAACATTTCTTCTGTTCCATCCTTCACTTTCTAAAAGTTGGGAAACAGCATTCTGCAGTTCTTTTGGTTTCATATAATTATCAAAATCCATATCAAAAACCAAAGGTTGTCCAAACTGCATCGCCTGGGCACCCTTCCAGTTCATTGAAGTGTTTATACGTCTGTCCCAAAGTCGAAGAAAAGGAAAGTTTTGCTGTTTATCTTCCTCAGTGGTTTCTAGCAGCATAGCTTGTTTTGCTTCTTCCTTTGCTGCTGCTTTCCTTTCCTTTTTGATTTGCTTTGCTTTTTTCAGTTTTTCCTTAATATACAAAAATTTTAAGTATTTTTTTTTTGATGATTTAGAAGCACATTCCATAATGGCTTTGAGCTGTTCTTCAGTGATGTTTTCTGGTACTTCTTTGCCAAGCAATCTCCACATCTCAATTAATTCTCTGGTGGCAGCTTGAGTATCTTCATCCTTGTTGCTTGAAACTGGGGGAACACCTTCTTCTTGCACACTAGACTTCATTGTGGTTTTCCAAACATCCAATTCTAGCTGTTCAGGAGGGGATATACTTTCCTTATCAGGATAGGACACAGCTGGTATTTTGGAAGACATGCACCTCTGCAGAACTGTTGAATATAAGTTTCTTTTCCTATGAAGGGTAAATGGCACCAAAAATCTGGTGAAAGGTCTTAGGAAAGTGACACTAACACTCATTTTGAGGAAAATAGTCATGTAAGAAAACCACTGTAAAAGAAACAAATGAAATTAAAAGTTAGAAATAAGTTTTAAAACCTCTAATAAACTGTATAATCATAATACCAAAATGCAATCAATTTCTGAAACACAGTGAATTTTTTTTTTCCTTTTTTTGGGGGGTGGGGGGAGTGGCACTGGGGATTTAATCCAAGGGCACTAAACCCATGAGTCACATTCCCAGCCCTTTTTATTTTGTATTTTGAGACAGGGTCTTGTGATCCTCCTGTTTCAGCCTCCTTCCTGTGGCCTCCAGTCCGCCCCCACCCCACCCCAGTACTTGGGATTGAACCAAGGGCCTTGTGCAAGCTAAACTCTACCATTGAGCTATAACTTCAGGCTGCAAAATGAAATTTTTCTACAACTTATATGCTCCATCATAAATTTTCCTAGACTCTTGCAGTTTTGAGCTTGTGATCACTCACTAAGCAAAGTTTAAAACTTATTTGGGTTCTTATTTTAGACATGAATTTCATTAGGCCAAAGGATAACTTAAAGATTATTTTAAAATTTGAATATAGGGGCCTAGAGGATAAATGTAACTAAATAACGGTTATGTACATCAACGACAAAGCTGAGATCATGATGTAGTCTCCTCCCAATAGGTACCTAAATTCAATATCCTTTACAAAGGCAATATATGAAGACAAAGGTTACAGAAGATTGCAAATAGTAAAAAGAACTTAAGAACTGCTGTACCAATGCCCTTATGTTTTCAAAGACAGACCAATACAGAGATCTATTGAACAACCACCACCAAAAATCTCTTCTCCAGTTCAGACTTGACTTTACAGGAAATAATGCTATTATCAAACAAAATGTCCCAAACTGGGACAAACATAAATAAAGCTCCACAATTGTATTCTAAAGAACTAGATGCCAGGGCTGGGGTTGTGGCTCTGTGGAAGAGCACTTGCCTAGCATGTGTGAGGCACTGGGTTTGATTCTTAGCACTGCATATAAACAAAACAAAGATCCACCAACAACTTAACAAAAAATTAAAAGAAAACAAAGAACTAGGTGCCACAAGATGATAAAGATGCTTATAAGATGTGATACCAGTATCAAGTTCAAGGTGAAAAAAATTCAAATTTTTACAAAATACAACTAAAACACTTGAAAAAATATCCTTCTTCCCTTGACTTCATCTAATGACCCAGCCTAAGACTCTCAACTCCCTGGCCTATGCACTGATGCCCTCTTTTAAAGGTAGATGTAACTTTTCTGTCCTTATCTCTTTTTAAAATTTATTTCCTCCATGAAATCTGATCGACTTCTGTAGTTTCAATAACTAAGCTTCAGAAAGATATCTCAAACACAACCAACTGAAATAATCTCTCTCCCTTCCTTCCCAGACTGCTCCTCCTCCTAAAACTGTTTCAGGGAGGGATACTGCTATCCAACCAGATGCTCGAGCTAGAAATCAGGAATCATTTCATTACTGTCCAGTCACATTCACTCTACATTCCTAATTTATTTGTTATATTCATTTTACTTCTAAATACTTTTTTAATCCATTCACTTCTCTTCATCACCATTTTCTTAACTGCATTTTCTAGCGCTCAGATTTACTCACCTCCACTTCTAAATCACTGGAGTCAGTGCAATGGCATACCAGGAGTGTGCAGTAGTGTCTGCCACCAATGTAGTGCAGAAACTCCACTATGAAATGTGGCCTACAACTGCAGCTGCCCAGTAGCTCACTGAACGGGTCTACACAGCACAGTCCCCAATGTGTATATATAAGTCTATTGATGCCACATTAAAGCCCATTAAACTTATTGATGTAGTTTTTCATGATATCATCCTTTGCTTACTTTTTAGTTGCATCTCTACCGATTCTTATATTTGAGATCAATATTTATCATGGCACCCTGTGCATATGATAGTATTCGAAAACCTGTATTTTAACTGGTGACCTATTTGCCTACATGGTAAGAACTATTTGTTCCATTAGGACAAGATCTATGTCTACATTAACACTGAAGCCAATGTTATGCATTATTTTGCTCAGGATAATCACTCAAAATATTTTTCGAGTAAATAGCCTGGGTGAAGTCTTCCCACATTTAAACAATGTTCAGACTTCCTTTAAAGAAAAAGAAATTCCTTCAGATTCCCCCCCCAAATTTAACCTGGGGTCGTCAGGCCCGAATCTGATAAGCACTAAATGCAGAAACAAAGTCGTTTGAGTTCTGTCTTTATAACTAGTAAAGACTTAGAATATCACAGAAACGAAAACCTAAATTTTAAAACACTATCAAGGATATCATTTGGAAACATGGTATTACTTATTAAATCGCTTCTCAGTGTATTAAATCACTGGGCTTCCTCCTATCTGTGGGCCTTCGCGCACATGCCACTGTGTGCACCTTAAACGTCGCCCACATTTTCCCACACCACACGCATACCAGGAGTGCGGAGGATAGGCTGCCGCCGATGCGGAGCGCAGGAGACTCCAGGAGTTGACTTCTGCGGTGAAACACGGACCAGAACGGCAGCAACTCACTGATCCGTCCACAGGGCGATACCAGCCCGAGGTAGCACCCCGGAGACGCTGCCGGAAATACCGCCCTCCTCCTCCCGGCGCTGCCTTCTGACGTCACGCCCGGGATACAGCGTTCCGGGCTGGAAGCCTAGCGCTGGTGGGAGTGTCTGGCTGTAAAGAGAACGCTATCGAAAGACGCGAGCCTTTCTGTTTCCTACATCAGCCCGCATTTTTCTTAAAAACTCGAATCCTCCTCTCTTAACCTACTGTCTCGTTGAGTATACAATGAATAAAGTCAAGTTACCAAGTAATTTATAAGTATGCATTTCCTAAAATAGAATGGTCTTTCACAAATCTTATGACTCTGCTTTAAATCTTTGACTCTAGGAATTTAACTCTAAACCTTATTTACCAGTTTATCACTAGTATTGAGTATAATGTTTGGAACGTGGTTGTTCGCAGCAAATACGCCTCACCTAATTCTTGTAAAATTTAATGTGAAGATAAAACTGAGGCCTTTGAGCCAAAATCCAGCCTGCACTTATTTTGTTTGGGCAACACATTGTTTTCAGATATTTTGGCTTAGTTGACGTTTTAGTTTTTTCACACTTATTTATTTTTTGCAGAGAGAAGAATCTAAGAGCATGGCTCCAGTTTATAGTGAGCAATAACTATTGTTGACTTGTAGGTATGATAACTGTAGTAATCAGAGATGATGTTGGTCCCAGTGTGGAGTTGTTTAGTTGTAAAATGGTACAGTCCTTCAAAAGTCAGAACATATAATTAATATTATGTAGCAGTTCTATTGATTGTATACTCAAAGAATTGAAAAGAGGTATACTTGTACTCAAATGTTCATTGCAACATGATTGACATTAACTACAGGATGGAAGCAATCCAAATGTTCACGAACAGATGGATACCAAAATACTGTAAATACAAACAATGAAGTTCTGATACATGCTGCAACATGAACTTTAAAAATTTTTTTTAGTTGTAGATGGACACAATACCTTTATGTAATTTATTTATTTATATGTGGTGCTGAGGATGGAACCCAGTGCCTCACACATGCTAGGCAAGCACTCTACCACTGAACTACATACAACCCTAGCCCATGAATGAACTTTGAGACATTATATGGAGTGGAATAAGCTAGACATAAGGTCAGATAGTGTAATGATTCCTCCTATATGAGATATCAGAGGCAAAGAAAAGAGGAAAGTTTGAATAATATTTGTGAGGTGGAATTTATAGCAGTAACTGTTCATGGCTCCTCCCATCCCTTGACCCCTGATAACCACTTCTGTATTTCCTATCTCTATGATTTATAGAATTTGGTGATCACTCTGTGGAAGAAATCAATAGTCTGGCATTAGCACTTGTTTCAATTGGTAGTGCAGGGAATGGGGAAAAGGATTACACAGGGCAAGAAAAAAGATAAGTACAGTTTAAACGTGGCCTATGAGCTTCCTTCAAGACAGCCAAATGATGTTTAGGATATTTGACTGCTGTGTGGTCTAAAGTTTAGAAGAAAGGGTATAGATTTGAGAATTGTTGACATAGAGTCTATGAAACTAAATGAATGAAAGAGAACTTCTAGGGCTTGGGCCATAGAGACTGAAAATAATCTACCAGGTAAGTGGGAGAAAAACAATTAGAATATGACATAGAAACTATGGGACATGTCTCAAGGAAGAGAGATAGTATGTTCAAATGCTGCCTAAAATTTTTTCAATGTAGAATGAGAAGTATAGAAAGGTCAATTGGGAACTTATTGTTTATAGTTTGATCCTACTGAGTCAGAAACTCTAGCAGTGGGCAGCAGCAGTCTTCGTCTTAAGAGCTACAGGTTATCCTGATGCACTTTGTTATATTCAAATTCGGGACCCCCAAAAGACCACCAGAGACCAAGATCGATGTAAGCAGCAAAGAGGTGTTTATTGCGAGCTAGCTCAGTCCTCGGCACTCACACAGCAACTGGTAATGCTGAGAGGCCCTGAGCCCAGGGTTTGCAGCAGTTTTATACACTCTTTGGGGAAGGCAGGGACTTCACATACATCATAGCATCTCTTAGCCAATCATCACACACTGCGGGAAAATCATAAAACAACTCTAAAACATGATTAGCACATTCACTGGAGTGAACAAGTTGGGTAGGGGTGATTGGTTAGTACAAGAGGGGGATTCGTTTGAACTGATTGGTTTAAGCCACGAGGGGAATACATGCCTGAACTACATGGTTTCCCAACATGTTATCAACCACCATAAACTACTGGAAGGGCATCCCAGGTATTTTCCCTGTCTCATGCTGATTGGTGGTTGCTAGGGGGTTGCTATGGGTCTTCACCTAGCCTAACTGAGTCAGGGTCACCTGGCTCTGCAGATCTCTCCTGTTATTTGTAGATAAACAACTCAGCAGGGTGGGTACTTGCCTAGGAGTGCTCTGTGGGTCTTTTTTTTTGTGCCCGCTTCCTTGTACAGTCTTTGCTCTGAGGTAGAGGCTGGTTTCTCAACTCTAAAGTTAGAGAACCATTGCTTTTGAAGAAACATTGAAAAGCGAGTGATACCAGTCCAGTACAGATCTGGAACAGGCTCTTGTTCCCTGATATTGAAAATTAAACATTGGAGAGATGCTGAGGCAAGGGGGAGAGCAAGTTTTATTTAAGAAAGTGATAGAGACAGACTTCTCTGAAGGGGGCCTCTGTGCTGAAAGCTCTTGGGAGGGGTATGACTTGCTTTCTTATAGACCCTGAAACACCCCCTTTCATTATTGTCTCCTCTTTCTTCCCTGAATGTGCAACTAGACTAGCCACAAGAAAGGAGCAAGGGACAGGAGGTTAATTGTTAGCAACTCAAGAGTGCCCAGGAGCACAGTCTTGGAGATTCAACTTTAGCAACCTATGGTTATCATAATGGTTGCTAATGGTTGTCATTCTGCCTCACCTCCGGCTCAGAGCAAGCAACCCGACTTGGCTATCAATAGATTGAGACCTCTGATGAGAAACCAGCCTCTACCTCCGAGCAAAATCAGTAATCCCAGTCATTCAGGAGGCTGAGGATTACAAATTCAAGGCCAGCCTCTGCAATTTAGTGAGGCCTTCAGCAATTTGGCAAGACCCTACCTCATAATTTTAAAAAACAGGAAATAAAAACAAAAAGGGGGCTGGGACAGATCAGTGGTAGAGTACCTGCCTCGCATGTGTGAGACACTTGGTTCGATCCTCAGCAGCACATAAAAACAAATCAAAACAAAAAAATAAAGATATTGTGCCCATCTACCAACTAGAAAAAATATTTAAAACAAACAAAAAAAGGGCTGAGAATATGGTTAATGCCCTGGAAGCCCCTGGATCTAATAATCCTTAGTACAATCAACTAATTAATTAATTATTTTTTTTAAAAAAAAGAGGAAACATTGGGTAAGGAGAATTCTGACTAAATAAACCTAACAGAAGTATTTCTGAAGACAGGTCAGGGTGATCAGATCCTTGGACTGATCCTAACAAATGCCAAAATAAACCGTTTTTTAACCTTTATTTATTTATTTATTTATTTTTATGTGGTGCTGAGGACCAAATCCAGTGCCTCATACATGCTAGGCAAGTGCACTACCAATAAGCCACAACCGCAACCACAAATCTCTTTTCTTTGCCACTTACCCAGTCTGTGGTACTCAGTTATTAGCAATCAAAAACAGATTAATATAGTCTCCTAGCTAACTATCATTTGCCCTCAAACTTAGCCTCATTTTCTCAGGGGAATACTCCCTGAATACCGAAGTATTATTTAGCTCTCATGTTAGATATTCTGTGGCATCCCCACTCCTTTTTTGGTGCTGGGGATTGAATCTAGGACCTTGTGCATGTTAAGCCTGTGTTCTACCACTGAGCTACACCTTCAGCCCTGGCCCCTGTTACTTTTTAATACTCTTTGCACTTGTAATTTCTTGTTCATTGTGACTTCTATAAGGATAAAAGCAATATTGGCCTTTTTTGTTATTGTGTCCTGATGTTGAGAGCCACAGCCGAAGGGGCCCCAGCAAACTTCCAGCTGCTGGCTGATGATTGGCTCACAGCGGCCCCAGCAACATCTAGCTGATTGGCTCCTCTGCCGCGATGCTCATTGGGCTATTTCCCTGCCCTTTCAGACCACGGAGCTGCTCATTGGGGGACTTTTTTGGCTCCGCCCACGTGACCCAGCCAATCGGCCTCAAGAGCAGGAGGATTGTGGGAGGTGGAGAGAGGCTTGTGTTGTTGGAGAGAGAGGCTTGTGGAAAGCCGGTGGTGGCAATTGGGGCTCTGAGGGTTTTTCCTGAGAGGCTGTTTTGTTTGGCGTGTGTGGCTCTAAAAATAAAGTTAGTTTCTTTTGACAAGACTGCGGCACTTTGCACTTGTTAATTTCTTGTTCATTGTGACTTCTATAAGGATAAAAACAATATTGGCCTTTTTTGTTATTGTGTCCCCAACACTTAAAATTGATTAGCCCATAGTAGGCACTCAAATATAAGTAGAAGTTATGAGTGAACATACATACACAACCAACAAATTTAAACAAAATAAAATAAACTTACAAGGAATGTAGTTTGCTTATGATATTATTTTTATTTTAACTTGTAACTTTATTTTGGTATTAATAACATTATAGAAATCAAAGAGTGACTTAAAATTTAATTTTTATCAACTTAAGCTTTGATATGTCATTATACAAAACAATTGCTTTTCTTTTTTTAAAGATTTCTTTTTTTAATTTGTTTTAATTATTTACACATGACAGTACAATGATATTGACATATCATACATTTGAATCAGATGGGGTATAATTTCTCATTTTTCTGAGTGTACAGGTTGCAGAATCACATTGGTCATGCTGTCATGTATATACATACAGCACAAAACAATTGCTTTTCAAAACAAAGATCTTCACACTTACTAATACTATAAAATATTAATAATGGAACTGACTTCCTGGTTCATCAATACTATAAAGTGCTCATGTTCACATTCTAAAAAAGGTAAATGATCAAAACTCAAGGCAGAATATAATATTGTGTATGAGCTGGTATTGTTCTTTTCCTTCTT